GTGTTGTGTATGTGTGTGTATTTTGGGAGTCTGCGATATGTTCGTGTTTGTCTCCTTGTGACAGCGCGGAACTGATGCCGACTTTATAGTGCTACCTCACTGAAACATACTGCCGAAGACCCCCAGCAGGACGCCCCAACCGGTCACATTATACTTACAACGGGCGAACCAGTCGTCCCACTCCTAATTTGCTGAGCGTTAAGCAGGAGTATAAACTACCATTTATAAAGACTTTGGTATGTCTCGGCCAGGGGACAGAACCCAAAGCCTTCCTCACAGGGGCGAACGCTCAACAAATGGCCAAAAGTAAGGCATTGTCAAGGGAGCCATTAGGAAGAAGACAGTTATTTAGAAAGGAAAGAAGAGATAAGGTCCCAAATTTAGTCGCCTCTTACGATCATGCAATTGTGGACAGCAGGTACAATTCTTACTCCCTACCTGCAGGGAACAAAACGGGACAGTTTTCAGCTTAGTACATGTACAAAACGGGACAGTTTTCTACATGTACTAAGCTGAACGTTTAGTGGGACCATATCGACTTTCCCTTTCTTAAAAGTAACTTCCCTACTTCCCCTACATACGGTGTTTACACGTCGCAACTGATTCGGTATTGAAGAACTCAACATATCATGATGACCCTGATATATGTAGATTGCTGACTGACAAACTAACAACATAAGGTTTGAACTATTCAGGTTGATAAAGACCAATAATAAGTTGTATGGTCGACATTACCATCTTGCAGGGAAATTTACAATTTTCTTTGTGTGATATGAAACGCGATGATTTCATTTATTACGCTCATTTAAAAGGCTTATCAGTTTCTTGTTCTCGAATTGAGGACGTAACATGACTTCCATTCGTCCTAGATTTACATGGTTGGTATCTTAAATGAAGCAGAAGACACTTACCCTGGTCTTATTCTTCTTGTACTTTTTCAAGGTTCTCTATGTAAATATTTTCTTTTTTCATATTTTCCCCTACGTTTTGACTGCTGATGTATCCTCTTGCTGTTTTTAAGGTAAAATGCGATAAAATAATCACCGTTTGAGAGAACGTTACGATATGAATAGACATGTAGACAATTCACATCAGTGGTTGTAAACTGGTGTCTATTCATATACACATATGATACATCTCAGTTATTTGAAGGTTACGTCATCAACACACATATATCATTCTAACTTCCATGTGTTACATTACCTAATACATGCGGTATATATATAGGATCTTACATTTCCATTTCTTATGAGATTGATAAAACAAGTCTAAGAATTTTTTAATTTAGCGAGCTTATATGAAAGATTTGTGACGAGTTTTAGAAATTTCATATGAACTGAAAATTAGTGCAATATCCTTTTTATCACATAATCAAGATTTGTAACATTTATTCGTTGAAATTTAAAAAGATGCCATTTCGACTTTAGTGCGTAGGTCTGTGACGTCATGTTCTTGTCCTAGGCGTGACGTCACAATTGAAACTTACAACAGTCACAGGACTGATAGGTCATATTACATGGGTTAATACACAAACAAATATGGCATGGATATATTGAATAGATAACACAGTACTTTTTGTGATAAAACAAGAGGCCCATGGGCCTTAACGGTCACCTGATTTATGTAAAAACTGATGTTATCGATGTTGCCAAATGAAAAAGAACTCATTTTGTCAAGAGAGGAACATGAAACATTTACATATCACAACATATGAAACAATAATAAATTAAAAAATACGTAAAAAACAGAAACAGTACTTATATAAAATAATATGCTGTTGCAATTGCATATGCCCTTGGTTTGCTTGTAGCCGAAAGCTGATTATAGTAAATAATTAATCTTGAATACGCGAGGGCAAGTGAATTTAGAATCCAACAAAGATTTGTTTTTCGGATCCAATGCCAATATTGGATAATACTGTCATTATGACTTATGAAACCTATAAACATGTACATGCAGATATAGCTTAATGTGAACCGTCAGGATTATATTGTCATAAATCAGCAAGAGAACAAGAGAAAAAACACACATTTAACAAAGACAAAACAGGCTGCATGGAAAAACAAGCGTCCTCCACTCAATCGATGACTACCGTTATAGAAGTCCATGTAAAAAGTAAGGTGAACCACGAATCAAAGAAAGAATCTGAACCGTCCAAATCAAAATCACTAGCCACTCTAATTACATGTAGGAAAATCAAAGAAGATCAGTGTCACAATTTCTAAATCAAATCAGGAAACCTTAGCTCCAAAATATAGATAACGAAACATATCAAGTTCATAAGATACTAAATGCCGATTTTGGTTTGGTTTAGTATTGTTTTACGTCCTATCAACATCTATGGCTATTTAATGACTGCCTCCCCTGTGTGCAAGATGCATGCGTATAGTGAATGCGTGTGTGTTGTGGGAGGCTGCGATATGTTCGTGTTTGTCTCCTTGTGATAGCGCATGTCTTATGTCAATGTTGAATCAATAGATTTGTTTGTTTGTTTGTTTGATTTTGTTTAACATCCTATTAACAGCTAAGGTCATTTAAGGACGACCTCCCCTGTGTGCAAAATACATGCGTGTAGTGTATGTATTTTGGGAGGCTGCGATATGTTCGTGTTTGTCTCCTTGTGATAGCGCGGAACTGATGCCGACTTTATAGTGCTACCTTACTGAAACATACTGCCGAAGACACCCAGTCACATTATACTTACAACGGGCGAACCAGTCCTCCCACTCCTAACTTGCTGAGCGTTAAGCAGGAGTAGAAACTACCATTTTTAAAGACTTTGGTATGTCTCGGCCAGGGGACAGAACCCAAAGCTTTCCTCACAGAGGGCGAACGCTCAACAAATGGCCAAAAGTGAGGCATTGTCAAGAGAGACATTAGGAAGAAGAAAGATATTTAGAAAGGAGAGAAGAGATAAGGTCTCAAATTTAGTCGCCTCTTACGATCATGCATTAGGGGGCAGCAGGTACAATTCGTACGTCCTACCTGCAGGGTAATGATTCAATAGAATAGAATAAAGAATCATCCTCTAGTTTATCATCGTGTATCATACGGTTGAAATAACTGTTTGGCATATTTTCGGTACGTTTACAGGAAGTTTCGTATTGTCGATTGATGACACATATAAGATATATTCAAAGTGATGCAATAGGGGCAGCGGATCAATTTTGGTCTCTTCCGTGTCGCCTTCATTGAGAACACAGATGAAAACCGTTCCATTGTGAAATAGACCCCACATAAGTCGCCTTGTATAACAAGCTTTATCCAGCATGGTTACTCAAGTAGCACTAAACTCCAGTAAATGATAAAGAAATAGCGAGAAAATAAAATCCATCTCTAAAAGTCGATAAATAAACACCAATGGAACTGGGGAGACACAACAACAAAGGAAGTGACATTAAATGCAAACAAGAAGCACAGAGGGCATGTATCGCTCACTCGGATCTTCATGCCCAGCAATGGTATATGTGGCTATGGGTCCAGAATCTAAACAATTTCATAGTTATGGTCCAGAAATTAGATCACTAGGGTCCCACTATTGTCATTACTAATATCATAATTGGGTTCGTCTTTTGATGTACACCAATGGTACTCTTATGAGGTGGGGATCTCAACCCCATGATGTTGGCATCTCAACCAATATGGAGGCAGGACGAAAAATTAGGTCCCTAGGGGTGGGGCAAGCCCCAGCGTTAATTCTTTAACATGATTGCGTTATCTCCTGATGGTTTCTGGTACAATTCTGAATCCTCAACCAACGTAGAATGCTCCAAATCGAATACGGTTAATATTGATCACTTAATTCTACAGAAGAAGTTATTTAAAGCAATATGGACAACTTATCCCTTTTTTGGTCCCGCCCCTCAGCTCCCAAGGGAAACTATCTTTCTTTATACAAATATGAATTATTTTTGCCCCAGGATGCTCTAAACTAAATTGGTTTGGATCCCTCCATTCATACAGAAGGAGGATTGTACACATTTTTCTATATGTTCTCTCTAATGGGACCTACACCTCTGCAATCAAGGGAGCCACAATCTTCTTTTATACAAAAGTGAATTCATCTAGCCCCAGGATGATGTAGACTAATTTTGGCTAACTTCAACCATTGGTACGGACGAAGAAGAATTTAAAATTATTTACCTATTTTCCCCCTATAAGGGCCCCGCCTCTCTGCTTCCAGGGGGCCACATCCTCCATTGATACAAACTTGAGTCGTCTTTACCAAAGGATGCTCTACACCGTATTTGGTTAAGATTTCATACAGAAGGAGAACAAATTTAAAGATTTTGCTCCATTTTACCTATTTGGCCCGCTTCTCTGCCCCCAGGTCGGCCACAACCTCAGACTTTTCTAGCCTAAATTTGGTTCACATAGCTCAATTGGTATGTACAAAGACAAATTGTTAAATGATTTAACTGAGTTTCGCTTACTAAGGCCCCGCCCTTCTGCCCCCAAGACAGCTACACCCTTCTTTTATACAAAAGAGAATTTCTCTTCCCCTAGGAAGCTCATGGCTAAATTTGGTTCAAATCCTTCAATTGGTGTAGATTAAGAAAAGTTTGAAATTATTTACCTATATCCCCCCTATCAAGGCTTTGATCCTCTGACCCCAGGGGGGCAACATCCAACATTGAAACAATTTAGTTCCTTTTACCAAAGGATTCCTGACATCATATTTTGTTTGAATGCCTCCATTCATAAAAAAAGTTAATTTGGCAAGTTGAACATCAAAGTGCGGTATGTTAAAACTTTTCTCTTGAATCGGAAACAGAACAATGTAAATGACGCGTTCTCTTTTCCTGTTGCTGTTTTTTCCATAGATTGCCGAAGGCGCGATAACCGCAGGGGGGTCCCGGAATTTTTTTGAAATCCTAGACTCAATATCCTGCATTCTAAGGTTATTTGGGTCTGGATTATTACATTTAATTACCTTCATTTTTTTGTAAAATATTTCTTTTTTGGGCAGAATTAGTAAAACAACACATGATTTTCTTGTTTATAATTTAATTTGACTATGCCTCAAGCATGTTTTTTAAGAGTTTGTAAGACTTCAGCTGAAGCTCCCTGATGTCCTGTGCTGAAGCCCTCTCTTCATCAGCATCATCATCATCACCATCTTCATCGTCATCTTTAAAGTCAATTGGAAGCTCTTCCTCCACCATAAGTGCATCCTCCTCAGACTCCTCTTCCATGGCAACATCATCCTCGGTCACCAGGTCTAGCACACCTGCGGCCTCCAACACAGCCTGGGTGGTTGGGATCTTGCATTTCTGAAGAATAGAAAGGGGCCATTTAATAATACCAAATTTTAATTGAACATTATTATTTCACTTTCTAATAAACCTATTCAATTCACTTTGTTTTTATTTTCATTTTTACAAAAATCCTGCATTACACACCTACATTTCATCCTTGTAGAATGGGCGCTTTGCCCTGGTGCCCTCGGCATACCACAGCTGGATGGCTGCATGGGGGTCGAAGCTCTTCACCGGCTCCACCTCCAGAAGGATGAGGAGCAGGTCGGAGAGGTTCTGATCCCCCAACCTGGACCGCCAGTCATTCTTGACCATCTTCATTCTGATATATAATTATAAAAAAGTGGTGATATTCATTTTTAAATTCCATATATTGAACAATTCTAATAGCATAGTAATTTAATGACGATACATAAATAATTTAAAGCAATTTGTTTTGATAAATTCAACACAATGTGAAATATTATGTTGTAAGTTTAAACAAAAATCTAATCATTATAAAAATACCTTGAGAATCCTCTCTCTGCGTCTTCAGAGGATCCCGGAAGTGAAAGCAGGTAGTTCACCAAGGTGAACAGGTTGCTACACCTCTTTCCCTCCATCTCTTGAAGCATCGGCCAGGTTAAAGGTGGGGCCTCCTTCTGTCTGCTCCTAGAAGTTAGAATTACATTTTTAGAACGGTTGACTTCTTTGAAATTAACATTTCAATTCGCATATTTTGTGTGGGATATCGTTAAATCATTACAAGCATTATAAGTACCTGTTTTGTACAGCCGTTTTCAGAAGCATCCACTCGGGCTCTATGGCCATCAGGTCCACAGTAGGACAGCATGCCTTCAAGGCTTCCCCGCATGTCTCCACCAACACAGGCATGTTGTCGTCTCCAAAGTCTGCTGTGATAGATTGCATTCTCTGTAGTTTTCTTTCTTAAAAAAATATACTACTTTAACTCCGATTATAACATTCCTTAAGTTTCTTATACAAAATTTAATTAATTTTTGTTCCAGACATTAATAAACACGGATTATGTAATATTTGTATTATTGAACTTCATTTTCTTATTTATAATACAAAGTTGTATAGTAAAATCTGTGCCAATTTTACTAAAAAAAATATATTCATTTTTTGTATTCACTGTCGTTCTCATAACACTGGTATAGTGTACCTATGTCGGCAGACCATTTGTTCAGGGCCAGGATTCGACTGGCTTGGAACAGATGGAGGTCGCCAGAAAACCTTTCTGTGGTGCATGCGATGAGGGAGTTGAGGACTGTTGTCCTCCGGTTTGCGATGCTTTCCCGTACATTTTCTGTCTCTGATGACGAGGCCTTTCGCAGGTAGGGTCCATCACTAAATACAAAATTATAAATAAATACCAGAAAAAGCAAGGACCACAACCATATCGGACAGCATTAGGTATAGAACAAGCCAGACTAATACTCTAGCAATTAAAATATGTTTGTACCAGTATTAAAAAGGATAAGGTGAATGCATTGATTTGCGGTTAAAATAATATACATTTAATATTTTTAAATGTTTTAATTTTTGTGTTTTGTTATACGTACGTCGTTATGTATTTTCTCAGACATCGCTTAGCGCTATCGAGGGCATCCCATATGTCAGCCAGGGTGCTGTCCTGCTGCTGTGCTGTGGTTGACACCATGCTGAGGGCAGTAATGATGTCAAGCATCAGGTGCAACCACAGTACAACGGCACTGTCCTTCAGCAACCTAGCAACCTTAAGAAGTTCCTGGCCTTGGCACTGGAGTCTTTCCTTGCCTCTGAAGGGGAGGCTTGCATCTAAATGAGAAAAGTATTATCAATTACCTAATCCCTTCCTGGTAATAATAAAAAGACAGACTTATCTTTGCAATATCTTATTTAATTACATTAAATTAATTGTCAAAATACCTGCTCCAGGTGTTGTATGATGGCATCCTTTCCTGTCAGGACAGCCTTCAACGCCCTCTGGGTGTGGGGGAGCCATCTAGTGCCCCCAACTCGACTTGGGACGATCATCTTTTGACCCAGTGATGTAAAGGACACCTTCAGGTTGGCACGGTTAAGAGGGCTGTATTTAAATTACAAAAAGAAAATAAGCGAAGTATAGTTAGAGTAAGACCTCATCAACGGATGCATTTGTTTTGTGTTTCAAGTAAAAAGGTCAACATACACAGTGGCAATTCAACACTTACTTATAAAAGAGGTAGAGGTTGAGTAGAAGCAAGTCGCACTTGGTGTGTATAGGCAGACTCTTCACAGCATCTTTATATGCCAACTCTAACCTTTAAATAATAAAAAATACAATAAATTTCTTCAACAAATTATTGTATTAAAAAATATCCAGGATCTGATGTTGTGGGGTTAAAATTTAACTTTAATTTAATTTGGCAACTCAGTTATAAGTATTAAATTTAATAGAGTGTCATGATTATTTAGTAGCTTGTTTGATGCCCGGTAAGCTTGTTTTTTGTAGAAGTGATGAGCATATGTTGCATGTAATTGTATTGTTTTGTTGCACTGACTATATATCTTGCACTTGAACTGATGAGCCTTGCGGCTCAAGGTAATAAAGAACTTGAACTTTATTATATGTATAAGTGTCATACGGCTCGGAACACACCCACCCCCTCCCAAAATGCCTACCTATGCGCCGAGCAGTGGATGCCTCTGAGGAACGGACGCTGGACTGAATCCGCAATCCTCTTGACCACACCGGACGTTTTCCCTGTCATCACCGATGCCCCGTCTGTCCCCATAGCTATGATCTTTTTCGTCCATGTGTCCTGCCCGAATCTCTCATTGAGTAGCGACTTTATTGCCCCGCTGATGTGCTCTGCATCTCCCTTTGGTACTGTTTTTATTCCCACGAAGAAATGGGACACCTTCGAGTACCGTACAGAATTATACAAATCAGTTTATATTAACTTTTTTTCTTCCATCAATATTATTCTAAAACAGGCTGGTTGTATATGAACAGATGATTAACATATCTTTCATTTATCTATTGATGCGATCGGTATCGTAAAAACATAATATCATCAGACTGGCGAGATTACGTAAAATGACTTTAAATTACCTGTGATCAATTAATCTATTTTACATAATTCGACAATAAAATCAAACGTTAAAGTCAATATACATTTTGAAAGTATTATGATTCTAGTTCGAGTCGTAGCTATCGCTCCAACGAAATGGGTGTTTTTTAGCTGTAAAAGGCGACTGGCGCCTTGATTTTTTTGTTATAATTATTATTTACTTTTTTGGCTGTCACATAACTTTTATTTTATTAAGTTGTTACTTTTTTTTAGGTGGGACATGGTTACTTTTGTGCAGATAAACATATGTATGCTAATACATGGACAATCATATTTTTCTATCATCGTATTTAATTAAAGATATATACTGCATGTCTACATTATTTATTTATTGTAGCAATATTATAAATTAAATGTTTGGCGTGTCTTGGATCGACTCCGTATTTTTCGCTGTCTAACATAAATATAAAATTGTTCAAATATTCCCTACATGGTACGCATATCAGTCAATTAATTAATTTCACGGCCGATAGTGGGACGTGTACTAACCTAATATTCAGTCGTCACTTGCTATTGGTTGACCAATCATTCTTCACCGTGATTATGTCAATCATTCCATGACCGATAGCGGAGCGTGTACTTCAAACGGATGTTATACATAGACGTGCCCTATTCTTTGGAATGTAGAGAAGACTCGAACTAGTTTCAAATACTGGGAATTTATTATATCTTATTGTCGTTATATTAACACCAGTCAGTGCCTATTAAAAAGTGAATCAATAGTACCTGACACTCGACGGATGTACACAAGCCCCGCCTCCTTTGATGATGTGTCTGTCGAGCCGTCAGAGATGACGGACATAAACTGTGCCTGTTCAATGAATGTGTTTTGTTCACGTCTCCTGGTTTCGGCGATGGCAGTTACAAATTTTTGACAATATTTGTCAGTAAGATATGTGTTACCCATTTCCAACCCCTTTGCTTTGTCTAAAGCGCATAGACCAACATAATCAGAATACGGTCTGCCAGCCTTTGCTATCGCGTGTGCATTTCGAAAAAGTGTTGTCAACTTGGTCACCTCAGCTTTATTCAACATAAGCAATGTTTTTTCCCCCTGTGACGATCCCACAGCTGCTGATTTTGCTATTTTTTTCCCCGTATTTTGTTTGTGTGTGTCTGATAGATCGTGTTTCCCCAGGGCTTCCAATTTAAAGTTAGAACACCCGGTGATGAACGTGCCTGATGTTTCATATGGCAGACAGGTGCTACATCTCATTTTGTCATTGTCGTACTGGACCCAAGAATACATTTTCTTCCATGAAGACTGAAATGCCCTCTCCCTCTTATTACCTTCATAGTTTTGTGAAACAACTTTTTTTTCTTCTGTTGTCTTTGGTTTTTTGGCAGGAGGGGGTGTAAGACCTAAAAACTTGTACATTGTAACCGTTGAATACAGTTCTCTTCTCAATGTCAAATTCAAAACACAACAAACTATGATCTATGTCATTAACGTGCTTATCTTGTCATCTCATTAACTGTGATTATCGCTTTCTTCATAACTCGGTGTCCTTCTTTTAAAGATTTGGCAGATATCGCCTCACAGATTTAGACACCGTCACGTACGAATCAAGTAAAACCCAATTGTTTACCTTTAATAGAAGAAACTAACCAAATCATGCTCCCACGACAAATCTTCATTGGAAGGCCAGAAGTATAAACCTTTGTGGGTCTTCTCCATAAACTGCAGAAGTACCTCACCATGTTGTAGCTCCTTGATCTGAAAATGAAATTAAATACATTTTATTTGTTTTAATTATTTTTAATTATTATTCGTGTATACTGTGCAAGCAATGGTCTTTGAAAACTTAACAGGTATCTGTTCAAAATCAATCTAGTTACAGAGAGAAATATGCAAAAATGTTTTTATTTCATTAGTTATATTGCATTTGAGGTATTAAAATGAGTTAATGTACAAAATTACAATTCTGTTCACATTGACAACAACTGGATTGTAAGAATTTTCATAGTATTCCTTTGACCGACATATTCTTATAAAAGACAGAATTATGTCAAACGAGAAAATGTATTTGTTTTGTAAAGAATCGGACAAAGTAGCAATTTCTGGTAAATTGAACATCAGACATTATCAACTTTTTTAAAATCAACATTAGGCTGGTCAGAGGTTTTGATTTAAGAGGTTATCAAGTGTCTTTCTTTGAAAGGGCCGGTTTCCAAAACGGCCCCTTCTCTGATTCAAATTTCCTGTTGGTGGTGCATTGCCCATGCCGTTGTGGTCACAAATCTATAAAGTATAAAGATTTAGGTCACTTGGTTTGTTTTTTATGGCTCCTCAAAGTTGTACCTTTCAGAAGCTGTCTAAGTGTTGATAAAATGTGCATGTTATGTAAAATATTAATGAAAATCTAATCAAATGATGGTCACCGTAAAGAATACATTCATGGCATGATTGTGACAAAAAATCATGTTTCCATCGCGCCATTTGGCTGTTTTATGGAAGAAACAATCTCAAAAATGCCATTTTCGATGATAACATTTTAGACACAAAAACTGTGTTTTTTAGAGAATACACCCTTTTATGGGCGTTGGATGCAAACCAATTTTTATCCTATTAAACAGTACGTAATATGCTATTGATGAGAGGAAAAATCATCAAAATGTAAGTGGTGGAACATTTTCAAATGTTGGGTTGAATTAGCCTATGGTTGAATTGCCGATTTTCGACTTTCTTTAGATAATTAACAAAAAAACGAGAGTATTTGCTCGGTATGTTGAGAATATGTACACAGATATGAAAAAAAGTGAGAGAAACACTTTTTCATAAAAAAAATCCAAGATGGCTACTTCACAAGTCCCCGTGGTTGAAGACATTGGCTGACAAATAGACAGAACAACAAACAAAACGTGTTCCTTATGATTTTGGTTGGTTTTCGCATTTACGGGAGTGTTCATAGCTACGGGCGATTGTATAATACCTATATTTATAAGTTTGGTTAGTCACATGGTAACGGGGATCTTTCATATCGAGCCCCAAACATACTTTCGACATATGCACTCCGTTGCCGCATGGAAAACTATTTCAAGTTTTGTCGGAATTTCTTTACCTGTGGTTGTAATGGTCGAGGGTTTTCCAGCGTCCTGTAATACCCAAGGTAGTACAAGATACTGGAGATGTGCGCACACATTCCCATCGTTCTCTCTCCAACTGGGCACTGGCAGTAGTAGTCCTTTATTGGGGCCTCAACATCGGGTGAAACGGTGAACCGTATCCAAACGTTATATTTCGTTTGGCTTTTGTGTCGAGAATGTATTTGACATCGGAGAAGGTCTGGGGAGTGCTGGTAAAGCCACACCTCATAGTCTCCGTCATCACTTAAATGTTCGGCGATGTAACCAGGAGCCAGAGATATCTGATACGTTCCACACGTAATGGTTCTCAAGTAATCAAGATCGAGACGGGGAAACAGTACGGAAGATGCATCCATCTTGACAAACTCGGACCTTGCCCGTCTAGATAGATCCGGATCTGTCTTGACTCTCTGAGCTAAACCATTCGGTGTTGTCAAACGGTCCTTCATACGTTCAGCCATTAGCCTATCTTTGGCATCTCTCTCTGGAGATCTCTGGTAGATCGGTCCTCTAATACCATTCAGACAGGCTGTGACGGTTCGAAGCAAAGCCTCGATGACATTGATAAAGCTGTTAGACACCAATTGCGTTCGGAAGAACGTCCAGTGTTTCAGACGACCATGATAGGATTCCACAATCCACCTCGATTTGGTGATAGTTCTGTCAAGATTTGCTTGGACGTCAGAATGTTGACTTTGACCGGGTTTCAGGTATGACGGCATGCTAGCATTGAGGCCAGAGGCTTCGAGAACTGGTAGGACATCTCTAAAACCTCGGTCAACGACAACGTTGTCGTCTGGTTGTAGCCAAGTAACTAGCTTGTCCATGACTTTTTTTGTAATTGTAGCATCATTTTCGCTGCCAGTGAATGGTCCTA